CGGGCACCTGTGGTCCCAGCTACTTGGGAGGCGGAGGCAGGAGACTCGCTTGAGCCCAGGAGTTGGAGGTTGCTGTGAGCTGTGATGCCACGGTACTCTGTCCAGGGGGACAGCTTGAGGCTCTGTCTCAAAAAAAAAAAAAAAAGATGTATGAGTTGAGGAAAGGTCCTTCTGGGGAGGGCAGGGAGCCACACCGTAACCCCCGGCCTCATCCCTTGCACTGAACACGTTCTCCATACACATGTGTGTTGAGGGTGGATGGTGGGAAACTTCCCGTTTCCAACATTCAACCTTTATAGAAAAGGTACTGAGCAGAAGATCAACTGAGCAACAAGAAGGTATTTATGATGCTTTCCACAAATCGATCCTGGCCAGAACCCAGCCTCAGTGGCTGTACAGAGGGGAGATAACAGAAACACCTTAAGACTAAATATTTCCCTGGCTTATAAATAAACACAAGTGCATCTGGCACTTTGGAGAACAACTGATGTTTGAAATCTGTCAAAGGGAGAACAATGTCACTTTAATGCAAAGTGGAACAAATGTATCATGCAGGGGCCTGATCTCTGTTTCACAGAAAGAACTCAGCAGGCAGTCATTGTGAAATAGTCCCAGTGTAGTGATTGTGTACCCAATTCTAATTTCAACTCCATAGAACATAAAATCACCACTTCCAGGCACTTCCATGGCGATGGTGCAGGTGGCCTGTGTCCCTGTACACACAGTTGGCATCACGTTGGTATCTAACTCTAACAGAGTGGGCTTTACCAGCCGAAGAGGAAAACTATACACAAGATTGAATAAACCTTTGAGGTTTACTTTAATCAAAGAATATTTACACAATTCTCTTTGGATTGTACCTCTTTTCTTAAACAGTTGTACTTCCTGTCTAAATGCACACCTAAAAATGTTTTAATCATATTACAGCCCTTTTCCGTATCTTGATTTTTTTTTTTGCTATGAAACAAATATACACATTGTAAAAGTTCTAAACAATAAAAACAAAAAGTTACTGCTACTTTTTTGAATTTTATTGGTGGTATCAAATACAAAACAGTAAAGCGGTAAACCTTTGTAGCTCTCCATAGGTATGTAAATATGAAAAGTTCTGTCACAGAAAAAATCAAAGTGGAAGAACAAAGCATTTTATAATAGTTAGAGTTGTTCCTGCCTTTCATTCTATTTTTATTGGTTTCTTTTTTTTGAGACAGAGTTTTGCTTGTCTCCCTCACTTTGAGAGTGGTCTGCTGTCATAGCTCACAGCAATCTCCAACTCTTGACCTCAAGAGCTCCTCTTCCTTCAGCCTCTCAAGTAGTTGGAACTACTGGCACCGGCCGCCACGCTCGGCTATTCTTTTTTTAGAGACGAGGTCTCACTCTTGTCCAGGCAGGTTCCAAATTCCTGAGCTCAGGCAATCCACCAGCCATCCGGACAGAGTGCTAGGATAACAGGCATGAGCCACTTCGCTCAGCCTTGTATTCAATTTACAACTCTCAGACTTTTTTTTTTTTTTTTTTTTTTTTTGAGACAGAGCCTCAAGCTGTCCCCCTGGGTAGAGTGCCGTGGCATTACAGCTCACAGCAACCTCCAACTCCTGGGCTCAAGCGAGTCTCCTGCCTCAGCCTCCCAAGTAGCTGGGATCACAGGCGCCCGCCACAACGCCTGGCTATTTTTTGGTTGCAGCCGTCATTGTTGTTTTGGCGGGTCCAGGCTGGGGATTCGAACCCGCCACCTTAGGTGTACGTGGCTGGCGCCTTAGCCGGTTGAGCTATAGGCGCCGAGCCAACTCTCAGACTTTTAAACATTGTGTTCATCATACAGCAAATCACTTAGCTATGGAAACATTCAATGCCACTGATTTAAAATATATTTGGTAATATAACCTGCACAAAAATCTCTCCCTATAATGTATATATATACCTAGTACCAACAAAAGAATTTCAAGTTTTAATTTTTTGTACTTGTGAATATAAAGGTATTGTAATTAAATCTTAGTGCTTTCTAAAAATCAGGAGGCTAACAGACATCTTAACGAAAAATCCAAGGCTATGAACTTTAAGTCTGTATAGTTTCACAGTTAAAATCATCTATTACATTTTCCTTAAAAACATTTATCTAAGCTATTGGCAATGTCTGTGCAAAGGTCAAGAATATTCAAAATATTAACCTTTTCCACTCCGATCTCCCGTTTGCAACTCCTGTCACTGTGGGTGATTCTGGAGCGAATGGTGTTGTCTAGTCAGTAAGAGGATGCCGGAAAAGGATTATCATCAACACTTCAGTGCTCATATATTAGTTTACCTCCCAGGTGATGAAAGAAGGGAGATTAGTTGCAAGGGAGATGACCTTAACCCCAGCCTGGCTTTCACTGGAGTGCTAAAAGGTCATGGTGACACATCCTTCCAATGTCCTAAGGGACAAAGGCCACCCAAGGATTATACTGAGAAATGTTAATTTGATTCACTCTTAACTATGAAAAGTCCTAGACATAGAGATATTATGTCTTAATCTAGAGATTTTTATCAGGCAAAGAAGCAAATAATTTTTCCTTTGTGGGAAAGATGGTGATTTATGTCCCTGTTGAACAGAATCTGGGTTTGTGTACAACCCAGTAATATCTTAATGTTGCCAAAAACTACTCAGCTTCTCAAGGGTGCTTGGAGCCAGTTTTCATCTCTTACTGGTCTCATCATTCATTCAGTTCAATCAAATCTTTGTCATGTGTTTATTTTGTACGAGAGCGTCACATCTGGTACCCCTTTGAAAATTTCATTTGATCAGACTTGAAGGTCATGTGCTGAGACATCTGAGGGATCAGCCCGAGGGAGCCAGGTAAACTGACTCGCCTGAGAGCCTTCTCTCGGCCTCTGAGTGAATTCTGGGTGGCAACAGAACGCTGGCATTTCTGACTCTCTTGTTCTGTCCCCCTTTCTACTGGTTTTATGTATTTGTTTTTGTTCTTGTTTCGCACACTTTCAGAAAGTTATTTCCTATTAGTAGCACCCGTGGTTAGGGATTTGCGTTAATGGCCTACGCGGAGATCTCTGTTGGGTGAGTAATGGAGACCTGCTCTCTCTCAGGGGAGAGATGATTTATTCATCTGTTTTTGTTTGGTTATTGTGGTCTATTTGTCTGTATGCAACCTCAAAGCAATTAAGAATTACATGCTATTCAGTCAGGCTTCTCCAGAGAGACAGAACCAGTAGGCTACATGGACAGGGAGTTTTTAGGGGGAATTTGCTCAGATCCTCACAGAAGCAGTTAAGTTCCATTAAAGTCTGCAAGGTGGGCACCAGAAAAGCCGGTCGCCTCGCTCTATCCACAATCAAAGGCTCAGAACCAGGGAGGCTGACAGTGTGGCCCCCCAGTCAGCATCCAGGGCCCCTGAGAGGCCAATGGTTCAAGTCCCAGAGTCCCAACGCTGAAGAACTTGGAGTCTGATGTCTGAGAGCAGAAGGAGAAAACGCCTCCTGCTCCAGAAGGGAGAGAGGAGGCAGAGAGCAAGAATGCCCCTTCCTCTGCTGGTTTGTTCCAGACAGTCCTCAGGCGATACAGATAGCAGAAATTCCAGGTCTCTCCAAAAGAATTTCTCTACTTTGTGTTGACTTTATCATGTCCTTGATTATTTAAAAAAAAAATTAAAACAAGTGAAGTTTCCTCAGCTGTAAAAAGGAAATCGTGTTGTCTTCTATGTTTATATAAAAGTATTTTGCCATTTTGAGTAAATAGGTTAACTGTGGTTTCTTAGCACCCATACTACTATTTAAATAGTGTTTAATCTTCTCTGATGATGATTTTTGATTTTTGCCTCACAAGATCACATTCTAAATTAAGAAGAGAAATACTTCCAGGATGTCTTACATACCTCCAACTATCTTTAAGATTTCCCACAGGTCCTTGGAAGATTATAAAAATTTATTTCACTTTGTAAAAAGAGGAATGCTGGAAATGATGAGGTTGTTTTGTGTTCTCCATGTATCTTATTTAGCTCAATATTACAATATTAGCAGCATGGTAAGAATTCTTTTTTATTGCACTTTTTGGCTGGGCCGGGTTTGAACCCACCACCGCCAGTATATGGAGCCAGTGCCCTACTCCTTTGAGTCACAGGCACCGCCCAGGAAGAATTATTGAATCAGAAACAATGTCTAGCCTCCCCAAGGTTAAGTTTGTATAGGCAAAATGCTATTGATATAAATATTTCAGATATTATACATTTTATGAAAAGGCCTTGGAGATTTCTCAGTAATCTTACTATATGGAGGGTAAGAAATATTGATCAATTTTTTAATGAAATAATTACATAGAGTGCCACAATAGAGATTTTTACTTTCTCTTTTTTTTTGGCCCGGGGCTTGGTTTGAACCCGCCACCTCTGGTATATGCGGCCAGTGCCCTACCGCTTTGAGCCACAGGCACCGCCCTACTTTCCCCCTTTGATGTTACTATTGTAAGAAACTAATCATGGTCATTCAGTCTCATTATCATTTCTGCTTTTATTGGATGCTTTCCTGAAGGTTCTGCTCTAAGATCAAAGTCTCCAAGTATCAAACCCTTGTCGCCCTGGGTAGAGTGCCATGGCATCATCATAGCTCACAGCAACCTTGAACTCTTGGGCTCAAGAGGTCCTCTTGCCTCAACCTCCCCATCAGTCTCAAATTAACTTTCAGCACACGGCTCTCTTCTCTCACTATTAACCTGAGTTTACAGTGCTCCTCTAGTGGCAGTAAACAGCAGCCCACTTGTACTGAAAAACGATTTCTCTTTCACAGAGGACTTTTCCTACAGAAAAACTTATTTACAAGAGAAAAATATTCTACATATGCTTCTAGAAAAGGACAATCAATAAGTCTTTGTTGATTGCCTTACATTCAATTTATTTGAATTATGTATATTATTTGATCTAATGAAGTGCCAAGGCAATACAGAAGGGTTAGATTAAAAATCCTGAAGAAATCTCTAATAATCTTACATAATTTAAAAAAACTATCATGCAAACTGACAGAAAAGTACTTTATTTATAACATCGTTTTGTAAACAATCACACTGTGAATAACAAATTTTTTTCTAGTAATTTACATATATCAAACCCTATATAAAGTCAAATGAGTTAATATAAGGCTAAAGATGAACAGGGCAGAATGATCTGAAAATGTCAAATTACAGCACTTGATACAAAGACATAACGATCTGTACCATAAAAATGTACATGCCATGAAATATTAATTTATAATTTTAAATATACAGTAAAACACATTTATAAAAAAGTATTAACATTAAATTTATTATAAACCAGTGAATTACTCAGAGAAATATTAAAACTTACTAAAAATCAGTAAATATTGCAACTGAGGTAAAAATTTATAAGTAAACTATTATTTATAAGGACCGAAAGGTAAACCAAAGGGGAGACAACATTTTCTGATGACTGTATCTACTCCTTGATATTTTGAAGCAGCTTCAACAAATGTGATTCAATAACCTGTTGAACTAGAACACACAGGTAATCAAGATCATAGGATACTGATTCCAAATTTTTATTAAAACTATCAAATTCAACTTAACATCCCCCATTTTTTTTTTTGAGACAGAGTCTCACTATGTTGCCCTTGGTAGAGTGCCATGGCATCACAGGTCACAGCAACCCTCAAACTCGTGGGCTCAAGCAATTGTCTTGCTTCAGTCTCTCAAGTAGCTGGGACTACAGGCACCTGCCACAATGCCTGGCTATTTTTTTGTTCGTTTAGCAGGCCCGGGCCAGTTTCGAACCCACCAGCCCTGGTGCATGTGGTGGGTTCCTTAACCACTGAACTGTGGGCACCAAGCCACATCCCCAATTTTTCTAAAATGAAGTTGTTTCCAAGTAGGATATACTCAGAATCTGAGGGCAATAATGTAACACAATACCTTAAAACTTAGTCTGTCTAAATTACTGGACTTTCTGGGTCTTGCTTTCTCTACTTCTGAAACTGAAGCAGAGTGCACAGTACAAGGTTGTCCTAAAGTGGGTCTAGAAATAGTTTGCTATCAAAATGTTAAGTAGGGGTGGCGCCTGTGGCTCAAGGAGTCAGGCACCAGCCCCATAAACTGGAGGTAGTGGGCTTAAACCTGGCCCTGGCTCGGCTCCTACAGCTCAACCAGCTAAGGCGCCAGCCACGTACACCTAAGGTGGCGGGTTCGAATCCCCAGCCTGGACCCGCCAAACAACAATGACGGCTACAACCAAAGAATAGCCGGGCGTTGTGGCAGGCACCTGTGGTCCCAGCTACCTGGGAGGCTGAGGCAGGAGACTCGCTTGAGCCCAGGAGTTGGAGGTTGCTGTGAGCTATAATGCCATGGCACTCTACCCAGGGGGACAGCTTGAGGCTCTGTCTCAAATAAATAAATAAATAAATAAATAAACCTGGCCCTGGCCAAAAAAAAAAAAAAAAAACCTGCAAAAAAAAAAAGTGTTAAGTAAATCTTATAAATAGATGTGCATATATCCTCTAGTCACTAATCATTTGAGTTGGTGAAAAGTATAACAACACTCTCATTTATAGACTTTGTAGGAATGTGATGACTTTTCTCATAGTTAAAAGTACATGTCAGGAGTCAGGATAACAATAACATGTTTTATGACTCCAAGTGATGAAAACGGTTTGGAACACTGGCTTGTACTATTTATAGAGATAAAACCCAAGAGTTTCCAAATACTTACCACTTCTGTAGCCCAGGGCTACGGCTAAATCCATAGAGTTATACCCAGAATCGGTTTCAGTTGTTGGGTCAGCTCCATTTTCTATACCAAAATAGAAAAATGTACATAAATAAAATGAAACTGTCTGTGTTTCATTATCTTTGTCTATTACTGGCTAATGTGAAAATAGCTGGACACATTTTCAGCAAACCTGGAGAATCTTTTCAGGATGGGGCTGACAAGGAGTACACAGGGAACACAATTTACTCTGGTGTGCTGGAGGGAAGACACTTCAAACAAACAGGTGCCCCCCAGAACGGCTGAAACCCAATGAAAGACAAAGCTTGTGAATAAAGACACTGCAGACAAAGAAAATAACGGAGGATTCAGCTGGGACCTCCAAATGAAAGCAACAAGGACAGAAGGTCCACCTGCAGATGCGGTGTGTGATGGAGCTGCCCGTGCATGGGCAGCTCTACAGTGGCAGCCCTCCAGTCTTGCCTTTAGACTCACTCTCCAGGAGTCAGCACCAACAAGATTAATGCTTCTGAGTACCACCAGGGAGACTAGGTTGACGGATAAAAGTCCTCACATAGCATTTTCTAAATAATTTCCATTTTTCTCTGCTCACCTAAGAGCATCTTCACACATTTCACATGGTTTCCATGTACCGCATAAAGCAAAGGTGTTCCCCCATTCTGTAAAAGGCAAATGTAATTGAGAGTATTTCAGGGTGAGCAAGAGTCAAGTAATTTGATGCTGCTGTGCTAAGTTTTACTAAGAATTAGGAATGAAACAGTTTACACAAAATTTAGATTTTTGTGAAGAATACTTAAATCAGAACCAATAATAGTTATTAGTCATGCTGTTAGTATAAAGTTAAGACGTAACTTTGGTATTTGGTTTGTCAATTATTCTTCTGTTTTTTTAATAAAATGTATTATTTTCCCCAAATGAAATAAATTCTGCATTTTGTTGCAATAATTATAAATTCAGTATCACAAACTCACCCAATCATACTCATTTACGTCAACTCCACAATCGAGCAGCATTTTGACGATATCTGTGTATCCTTTACTGCAGGCCAATGACAGTGCACTTTCCCGACCTTTCCCTAAAAGCTGGGGATCAGCACCCTGGAGTAAGGAAGTGGAGACAAAAAACTTTTCAATTAATTGAAATAAGAATATTTTTATTTCTGTCAATAATAACTACACTTCCACACTAAGATAATGTTCTCGGGTTAATAAAGAGACAATGGAAACTTTGATTCATGGATGCTCTTGTTAATCAAGATTGTTTGGATGCCTTCCTTCCTTCCTCTGTCTTTTTTTTTTTGAGACAGTCTCACTATGTCGTCCTCAGTAGAGTGCCGTGCCATCACAGCTCACAGCAATCTGAAACTCTTGGGCTTAAGCGATTCTATTGCCTCAGCCTCCCAAGTAGTTGGGACTACAGGCGCCCACCACAACGCCCGGCTATTTTGTTGTTGTTGTTACAGTTGTCATTGTCGATTTTAGCTGGCCCAGACTAGGTTTGAACCCACCAGCCGTGGTGTATGTGGCTGGCACCCTAGCCACTGAGCTACAGGCACCACCTCCTCGGTCTGTCTTAATCCTAACTATACTTTCACTCAGGAATCCAGTCACAGCTCCTCCATGAAGGCTTCTCCTACAAAGCTGACAGTACTCTTGCTCCTACTGCATTTACAGGGGCGGGGCATTAAATTATTCCTCACTGTTTCATGTATGATTAGTCTTGCCTTTACAACTAGACTGACATGCCACAAAAATATGAAAAGCATTAAAAATGGTTTTGTATCCTCTACCATTGTATCTAGCTCACTGGAGATACAAAAACTTTACTCAAGACTTAACTGAACTTAGGTAACTGTACATATACATTTTCTGAGGCATTTTCCTTACATTCTGAAGTAGAAACTCTACCACAGCTATTTGCCCGTGTGCTGCAGCCCACATCAGAGGAGTAAATCCTTCTTCATCCGTGTGATTGATAACATTTTCTATTTAAAAGAAAAGCAATTTTTGTGATCTAATTTAACAACCACATATTAATATTACTATGAAAATACTGGCATTCCAAAGAGTTGATTATGTTACTTCATGAAGTTCACTGTGTGTGGACTTTTGTTCACTGAAGTCATATGTTGTCATTTGCAGTCTGAATGTATTAAAATGAGGCTCAGTGGACATGGCTGAGATCACTTCCCATATTATTTAAACTAAAGTATAAACTACAAGACATGACAACATGCTCTGCATGAGGCAGTAAACAGAATATCCGTCTCAGAATCGGGAGACCAGAGTTTGAATCCTGCCTCTTTTACCTGCAGTGTGACCCTGGGAAAGTCGTTTAATCTCTCCAATGCACAGAATAATACCTTGCTTACCTCAATGTGAAGTTGGAAGGATCACAATAAAAATGAACTTACGATACCGCTTAGCATTACATAAATATGTGCTATTCATGTATAAAAACTCTAACATCTTATTAAGGCTATTATCCTACAGCTAACACTGCTGCCTGTGAATTTCTCTCATTTTGTGGTTTGCTGACACAATATAATGCAAGTGAAGAGTAAATAATCTGAAATATAGTACCATTCCATCCCACCTTGAACCCCATTTTATCCTCTAGATTTGGTCCACTAGTTATAAAGTCTGCAGCCTTTCCCCTAAATTTATTTAGTAGATTGATTATAAACTTCTGAATATTTATAAACAAACATATTTTTTTTTTTTTAGAGACAGAGTCTCACTTTGTCACCCTGGGTAGAGTGTTGTGGCATCACAGCTCACAGCAACCTCCAGCTCTTGGGCTTAGACGATTCTCCTGCCTCAGCCTCCCGAGTAGCTGAGACTACAGGTACCCACCACAATGCCTGGCTATTTTTTGTTGCAGTTTGGCCGGGGCTGGGTTTGAACCTGCCACCCTCAGTATATGGGGCCAGTGCCTTACTCATTGAGCCACAGGCGCCACCCACAAACACACTGTTTGAATAAGTTTTTCTTATAAGTGACATGTTTAAGAAAAACAAAACTCTTTGATCATGCCTTCTGTGTTCAATACACAACACTGAGGCAACTGGCTAACTTTCTAAAACATGAAAATAAGAGTGAAGCTTAATCTTTATCTCATTATACCAAAACATGTTCTATATGAGTCAAAGATTGAAATATAAAAAAGGAAACCACAGAAGTTCTAGAAAAAGGAAGGGGTAAATTTATTTATCATCTCAGACTGGAAAATCCTTTCTAAGCCAGGATATAAGACCCAGAAAGTCACAAAGAAAAAAAAGTAATTTACCACTTAAAAATGTAAAGCCTTTGATAACATCCTAAAGGAGTCAAAGGAAAAATGACAAGTTGGGGAAAACTGTATGATACATAAATGAAAAAGAACTAATTTCATTAATTTAGATAGAGTTCATATATCAATATATAGCAAGCAGTTCTCACAAAAAGAAATTTGAATAGAACCTAATTTAAAAAATATAAACAAAACTCCTATGAGATACCATTTTCCACGTATTAGAGTAGCAAAAATTAGAGTCTAATAGTGTCCTGTGTTAGTGAGGATATGAGGAAATAGAAACTCACGCTCTGGTGTGAAGACAAACATTTGGCAGTATATATCAAAATAAAAATGCATTTACTCGTTGAGCCAGCAAATCTACTTGTGGGAATATGGATATACATTAAAAGAATGATAACAATATTGTTATTTAATAGCAACAAACTGGAATTAACCAACACTGAGGGGACAGTTAAAGAATAAAAAGCATAGGAAATGTACTGTAATACAATGCAAAATTATGGACCTACAAAAAGAATAAAATAAGGACAGCTTATATGGAAAGCTCTCCAAAATATTAAGTCAAAAAAGTAAGATGCAATGTAGTATGCATAATCTTTTCCCTTGAGGGTAAATAACAAGTACTTATGTATATGTTCTCACACATAGCCCAAAATAGAAATGTTTTCTAGAAACATTTTCTAAAAATATAAGAAACTTATGTTTTCTTTTTATTCTTTTTGTAGAGACAGAGCCTCACTTTATCACCCTTGGTAGAGCGCCACACAGCTCATAACAACCTCCAACTCCTGGGCTTAGGCAAGTCTCTTGCCTCAGCCTCCTGAGTAGCTGGGACTACAGGTGCCTATCACAACACCTGGCTATTTTTTGGTTGTAGTTGTTATTGTTGTTTGGCAGGCCCAGGCTGGATTTGAAGCTGCCAGCTTCAGTGTATGTGGCTGGTGCCCTAGCCATTGAGCTACAGGCACCGAGCCACTATTGAATTAGTTCTCAATATATGTCTTAAAATAGGCTATTACCTTGTTCAATACGAGTAGCCAGATATAGCATCTCTCCTTGAGCAGCCAACTGGTGAACAGACAAAGCTGAAACAATACCATAAATGTTTCTGTATATTCTGTGTATCTCTATATAATATACATACATATATATATACACACACGCTTTTATTATCCCATGTTTGCCACCATTTTCCTTTCTAAAACAAAAACTATCATTTCATTGCTTAAAAATCTAACTTAAAATAGTTCCTAACATTATCTGACAATTCTGTACATGTTTATTTAAGGTAATATTGATATGTGCAAATTGTTATTATCAACGAAACTTATACTAAAGAAATAATTGAGGTACTTAATTTTTAAAATGTAACTCTGTATGCAAATTTATGAAGAAGTCAGTGTGAAAAGACACAAAGACACACTTTCTCTTTTTAGTGACTACATTGAATTCCTAAATATTTTTTTTTCTTTTTCTTTCTTT